CGTCCATACTTACACTAGTCCTACCTTTAAAACATGATTTTATATGTCTTGTTACAGGATGCCCGAACCAAACACCAGTTCGACGTCCATACTTACACTAGTCCTACCTTTAAAACATGATTTTATATGTTTTGTTACAGGATGCCCGAACCAAACACCAGTTCGACTATCCCTAGTCCTACTTTTAAAACATGATTTTATATGTCTTGTTACAGGATGCCCGAACCAAACACCAGTTCGACGTCCACACTTACACTAGTCCTACCTTCTGTGACCATTGTGGTTCTCTTCTGTACGGAATAATCCACCAAGGACTGAAATGTAAAGGTAAGTATAATTATCAGAGTAATTGTGAAGTAACCTATTCACGTGCACCATAAAAACCCATTGAAATAACAAGCGACAGGAAGTTTTTACTGTATTCATTTAGCAGAGATCTCTCTGGTGGAGCAGATAAAACTGTTGTTATTAATGGGGTTGATATTTTCATAATTCTAAAAATGTTGTGTTAACTTATTTTTCATAACGAACACCTATTTTTGTAGATTTGAAACAGCGTTATCTATACCATTATATTACAGGCTGTGACCCCCACCCTCTGTGGGCCTCTGTACGTCGGCTAGTTTCTAACAAAAACAAACTATCAATACGGATGGTGTTTTTAAAACGAGACCTTATTTTTTTTGTGCTATTTGCTCCTTTTCTCACCATAAAAATGATACATTTGATCGGCTCTCGTTTACCGAACTTGAAAACCATGAATTGAACCAAGTTTAATAGAAACATTGCGTGTTTTATAAAGGTGAGTTTTGAAGGTTGTAAGTCAAAGATTAAGACCGTTAGATCTCTGAAATGGAAACTGTAAATAACTTTAAATCGTAGAAGATGTAATAAAGGTGGCCATGTTTATTACTTTTAACCGGAATCGCTGATGAGTGCATTACGTGTGGATAATTTAAACGTGTGTGTATAAGCATGGTTTGTGGATGTTCATTTAAGATATCGGCGTCATATGACGTGCACTGCTGGGCAATGTGATTACTGCTGGTCTCATTAGAGAGTAATGATGTGAAGCATGAATTCGGGGAGTTTCATTTCGTGGCCTTCTCTGTGTTCTAATATTCTAAATGAAGTAATAAGATAGACGTAACACAACGGTGCACGTGCAGTCGAGAGAAACAATCTGTAGATTTTTCTAATTTAAATTTCTCGTATCTTTCAGTAATATATAAACTTCGTGGAGAACGTTACGTCTCGAGTTGTAGTATAACTTTCATGTAATCTTTGTCAAGAAATGTAATGGGGTTTGCATATTCTTACTAATAAAAATGTGAAGATTTCGTAACAGTGTAGCTTAGTGGTTAGCCTTCTGGGCTGCGGAGTGGAAAGTCCAAGGATCAAGCTCTCGATATGCTGTTGAATACACCCTGTTTTGTTAGCTGACAGGTTATCCTTTTTCTTTTAGTCACCAGTTTAAAATTGGGGATGCCTGAACCGTTGGGGGTCTCTGACCTGGCCGTTTAGCCTATTCATCCCATAAAGTGCCATTTAGGCTGGTTTTGTCACTCGGGGGTTACCGTATGTGTTTTGGCTGTGATGTAAAGTACCCCTGGTGGTTCAGATGGCATTTTATATCGTAACGTGTTGTTCTCTTTTATCTAGATCTTTTCACGACTAAAGACTACACGCGTCTGAGGCTTAAAATAGTTGCTTATCATGACCAGGAGTCATATAAAGACGTTTGATACATCTGGTTACATAAAGGACATTACAGCTCGTGATTCAAGTTTGCTAAGTATGACATCTCTAACTCTAAAAAGTGTTCTTAATGTAGTTGATTTTATTACATAATAACAGTATTGATTGTTTTCTATCAAAACGATACGTTATGACATTTCATAAGACATCTCCGAAGACCGTGCAGGGAGTTTAAGTCATACAAACTATTAAAACGGACAGTAAAATTAATTTCGTAGTTCTTTATTTCTCTGTGCGTGTTTTTAAATATCATCCCTCGTATCTTTGTAGATAAATAGTTGACAAGCTGATTCATAGATGTCGCCACATGGCGGTATTCATGACTAAACTATATGGACTAAGCCATGCCACAAGTCTGCACATCATACGTTGAACTTTGTATAATTGTCCTCATGATATACTCTGTAGCAAGGATTTTAAGGTTGGAAATGTTTGGATGTCGTTATTCAAACCTAAACCTATGTTTCTACTTTAATCTGATAGGTCTACATCAATTATGATAAGCATTTTCTGTGTACTTTTGACAAAATTATTTACGAGTTAATTAAGTGTAATGTTAATTTTCGAGAGAATTCAACCCCCCCCCCCCCCAAACAACAACAATTTACTTCGAAATTTATTTGGCCAAACGGAAGTCTTTTGTATTTTTGGTTTCATTTAATATTTTCAGTTTCAAGAAAGTTAGGTTTGGATAAAATAAACAAACATTTGAGCGGGAAAACTGGAATACTTTTTAAGTCTTTAGAGTTAGTCTTTCAAGGAGGCATTAATTTCTCGTTGTCCAAAGCAAATTACCTTACTACATTCCACATTGGATCTTCAAGATTTCATACATATGGGAGGATGTATTCCAAAAAAAGATGGAAATTAAACTTTTTATGTTTATAGACTATTATCATAAAAATTTAGTTTTGTTAATTAGTAGGTGCCCCCGACTCCCTTTATGACGTCATGAATATGGTGACTCTAGCATATATTGCTGATATATTTTCGTGTGCTGTTTGTTCGCCATATTTTGTCACTGGGTCAAGGTGACTATAAATGTCAAACTGGGACGCCGTTGAGCGTCGCGAAATACCAACTCGGTCTAGGCCTAATAGCCTAATATTCAACGTGGGCCCGGCATGACCAGGTGGTTAGGGCGCTCGACTCGCAATCTGAGGGTCGCGGTTTCGAATCCCCGTCACACCAAACATGCTCGCCCTTTCAGCCATGGGAGCGTTATTACGTGACGGTCAATCCCACTATTCGTTGGTAAGAGTAGCCTAAGCGTTGGTGGTGGGTGGTGATAACTAGCTGCCTTCC